CCCTCCCCCCTTCTCCCCCCCTGCCTTTCCCGCCCCGGTTCTCCCTCTCACCGACTAGGAACACGAACTGGTCGAGGAAGTCGCTGTCCACCAACAGGTACCCCAGGCAAAAGAAGATCACCCCCGTGATGGTGGCGATCACGGCCGTCATCTTCACGAACATCTCGATCTCCACCGTCAGGGGGCTCTCGATCGCCCGTTTGACTCCCGCTGAGGCCGCGATCTGGCCCATGGTTGTGCTGTGCGGCGCAATCGATGCACGACGAAACGGCAGACGCGTAAAACACACAGATTGTTATCACCCGGACCGCAATGGCGGTGGTCACAACATGGAAAATGGGGAGTCCTGGGCGGGGAGGGGCAAGGTGCTGCCATTTATAAGGTTGAAACGGGTGGGAGGGGGGAGGGGTGGGGCTGGCAAGGAAGGTATGTACACATGGCCCGCAGCACGGCAGCGTCAAACCAAAAAAACAAGCTTATCTTGCACGCGCCAAATGTCGAGTCCATCAAGCTCGACAGCCGCTGCATAAATCAAAAGCGCACCACGACCTCATCGAGCACTCAATTTTCCATTTGTCCTACGGAACTCTTCCGGTCAGATGCTTTCCTAGATACATCACACATCGAGCGATGCATGTTCCACAAAAGATCAGAAGAAATTGCACGAGGAACATTGCAACGCCGACACTGTACAAAGGAAAAACCATGTAGTCTTCCATCCACTTTTCGAACGAACACACGTCAACGTCAAAACCTCTCCACACCCACACCAACCACACGAGGAACAATTACAAGACAAAACAGGATTGCGAATGATTTCACAAAAAAGCTTGAATAGACGCAAAAATGAGCCCACCATCCAGCGGATTTTCCTCCCGCTCCACTGCAAAGATTTTTCATTTCAACACATCCCCCGATTACAGCGGTACCATCTCGTGTGATTCCAACGTCTACTTTATATTTCCAAACAACCCCCTAATAATTTCCGTAAAGTACGCAAAAACAAACACGCGGGATATGTTACGCATGCATGTCCAGAGAGCACCCACGTCATGAAGCCCCCCTACCTGTCCCCCGTCCGGATGACCACGCCGACGGCGCTCCCCTGCACGAGCGTTGTCCCGAAGAAGCCCATGTTCTCGGCCTCCCTGGAGCTGTCCGTCCTGGCGGTGGCCGTCCTCTTTAGGGGGGCCGACTCTCCCGTGAGGGAGGAGTTGTCCACCGTGGCGCTGTTGCACCAGATGAACCGGAGGTCGGCGGGTATCTTGTCCCCGGCTCTGTTGACAACAACAACAACAACAACAACAACAACAACAACAACAACAACAAACAAAGCAAAATAGGGTTGGGTGAAGTAGTCGACGTACTCGTCATCAACACTTGAGTATCGTCAGCAACATCGCCATGCACGCTGCAAAATTAAGCGAGACGTGGAGATACCAAGCACATGCATACACAAACGTACACCCGAAAAGCACCTCCAAAAATAATTAAGAAAACCTACGTTCCACCGCGCCCGCCCGTCCGTCGCTGCCTTCAACAACCCGTTACATGCACAAATCTACGAAATCTACGGGATGTTTGCTGCACGTCTAGGTAGGCCATCAAAGGCACACTCACTTGAGAGTTACCACGTCTCCCATGACAAGCTCGGTCGAATCGATTTCCAGCGTCTCCCCGCCCCTGTTTACAAGGGAGCTCGAAGGGCACAGCTTGGAGAAGCTCTTGAGCACCTGCTCTCTCGAGAGAACGGGGCCGAGAGCAAAAAAGCAAACAGGAGGGGGTTCCCGTCAGGCAAGCGGTGGGACAGCAGTAAAGTCACATCTACGAGATCTACGAGATCTACGAGATCTACCGCCACCGTCACCGCACCATCGCAACGACGAACACCGACCCCGAGAGGTGCACGTGACCACCTACCTGCAGTGGCAAGAGACAAAAACGGCCGCCCCCAACAACGTCACTCGCGATAACTGTTCCTCTAGGCGGCGGGTGGCATGAGGACGCGATGTCCATCAACAAAACACTACCCACACATGCGTACTGAGTGGGTACGCGCCACGCACAGACTGGCATGAGCCCCACTTCGACTACCACATCCCTGGGCAGCGCGTAAGAGGCAACAAAAAAAAAACACCTCTCAAACACTCGACTAGCGGCTACCTTTTAATTCACTTCACTCTCCTCGAAGGAAAAGCGGACTGCAGTACGGCAGGCCACTGCTGCCTGCAACCCCCCCTCCACCGTCGTAGGCGCGAATCCCTCACCACAACCCACACCAAGTACTACGACCGCAGAAACCCAGACCTTTCTCTTTGGCGTACATTTTCTTGGACCTCTTACTGACCAACGTTCCGGTCCGCACCGCCGGCGCAATCTTTAAAATACTCAAGGCCGCACCTCTGTGTTCCGTGTTTGACAGGATGCCTCTCAATCCCACTTAGTGCGCACCCATATATTCGCTGCCGAGGTGTCTTTCTCAACAAACAAGAAAACAAACGCGAGTCTCCACGAAGCCGCTGCATTCCGCGGCATCACTCCACGAGCGAGTAACTCATCGTGGGTCCACGCCGAGCGACCTCTGTTCACGTAATCTGAAGCTGCTGCGGCTGCTCCCGTTGCTGAAAGGGTGTAAAAAAATAAACGGATTTTCAACAATGGAGCAGTACCTTTTCAGCATTCTGCCGCTGGGTGAAGTCTAGCAGCGTGTTCAGGAGGATCACCACGGCCAGAACCAGCCCGAGCTGCAACGACTCCATATCCGTGCTGCTGTCGCTTTCGAAAATAGTCATGGCGTAGATCTTCAAGAAAGAGGGCCCGGGGGGGGGGGGGGAGGGGGGGGGGGGGGACCCCTAATCCGGGCTGCCGGAATCCTGAAAACCTTTACCCCCCCTCCCCTCAAAACCGGGGAGGGGGCCGCCCGGGTTTCCCCGGAACCGGGTCTCCCATTCCCCAAGGCGAAACACCCGGGGGGATTTCGGGAGGCCCAAGAAGGGGGGCCCGCCTCCCGGTAAAGGGGGTCGGGTTTTTGGGGTTTCTTTCTTGGGGAAGGGAGAAAACCGCGGAAGAATTAATTTTTTTTTTGGGGGGGTCCCCTCCCAAAAAAATTATAAACACCGTGGAGCC